GAAAGAGCCAGAGAGAGAGAGAGAGCCAGAGAGGGAGAGGGAGAGACAGAGGGAGAGGGAGAAGAGGAAGAAGAATGAGGAGGAGGAGAGATTGGATTTATACCGTGCCCTTCACTACCCAAGAAGGAGAAGGAGAAGAAGAGATTGGATTTATACCCCGCCCTTCACTGCCCAAAGGTGTCTCAGAGCAGCTTACAAACGCCTTTCCCTTCCCCTCCCCACAACAGACACTCTGTGAGGTCGGTGGGGCTGAGAGAGCTCGGACAGAAACTGTTCTTTTTCAAGGACAGCTCTTATCAGAGCTACGGCTTGCCCAAGGTCATCCAGCCAGGTGCAAGTGGAGGAGTGGGGAATCAAACCCAGTTCTCCCAGATTAGAATCCGCGCACTTAACCACGACACCAAACTGGCTCTGGGAGTCTCAGAGCAGCTTACAATCTCCTTTCCATTCCCCTCCCCACAACAGACACCCTGTGAGGAAGGTGGGGCTGAGAGAGCTCTTTCGAGGACTGCCCTTGAGAGAACAGCTCCGACAAAACTTATGACCGACCCAAGGTCACACAAGCCAGCTGCATGTGGAGGAGTAGGGAAACCAAACCCGGTTCTCCCAGTCTAGAGTCTGCGCTCCTAACCACTTCACCACACTGGGAGAGAGAGCGCGTGCCAAAATGGCCGTAAACCATAGCTGTCTGTGGAACATTTTTTAAAACTGATCAGTCAGTTCGGGTTGCCGACTCTGGGCTGGGAAATTACTGGAGATTTGGGGGTGGAGCAAAGAGGGGCGGGACCTCAAGTGGGTTATAATGCCGTTGGGTCTACGCATCAAAGCACATTGGAGCAACAGAGACAATTCAGGTGAGAGACGAGTCGAACTTATCTTCGCTCCTGGCTACCGCGTGACTGTTGTTTCTCCCACTGCCTTCCACAGTATGGAGAGGGAAGGTACCCCAGGAAGAGGAGGAGGGGGGAGAAAAGAAGAGAGAGACCCGATTCTTTTGCCGAAACATCGATGGTGAAGGTCTGGGGTTCGAATACGTGATGTTCTTCAACCAATCCGAGAAAAGGGTCGTGTGCATTTTCCAGCCGGGGGACTACCTGGAGAGTTATGCAGGGTGAGATGAGAAAAATCCTGGAATTCCTTGTTTCTAGAGGGAATGCATCTTTCGCTACTGCATCTAAATAATATTTATTTATATTTATTTATTAATCTGATTTTTACCCCGCCCTCCCCGCCAAGGCATGCTCAGGGCGGCTTACCTGAAACAGTAGATAAGACAACAATATAAATATTATCCAGTGCTCCCTCTAAGCTGTGGAGTCCTGTGAGCAAAAATTCCACTTTGTGAGCTACTGGCAAAAACGAGCGATCTGGCTGCTGCATAAATCAGTTGGCTCTGGAGCCACATCCTTCCTGAGCTAAATCAAAAATGTGTGCTCTGGAGGCTAAAAAATGGTGAGCGAACTCACACTAACTCAGCTTAGAGGGAACACTGGTAGTATCTCTGTTTTCGTTAATGCAACCTTGGTGTGAAAAATTCCAGCCCTCTTTGGCCCTGGCTCTAGGATTGCCCACTCCAGGTTGGGAAATACCTGTAGATTTTGGGGGTGAAGCCTGGGGAAGAAGAAGAAGAGAAGTGATTGGATTTATACCCTGCCCTTCACTACCCAAAGGTGTCTCACAGTGGCTTACAAGCTCCTTTCCCTTCCCCTCCCCACAACAGACCCCCTGTGAGGTAGGTGGGGCTGAGAGAGCTCTGACAGAAATGGCTCTTTTTCAAGGACAGCTCTGACAGAACTGTGCCTTGCCCAAGGTCATCCAGCCAGGTGCAAGTGGAGGAGCGGGGAATCAAACCCAGTTCTGCCAGATTAGAGTCCGCACACTTAACCACTGCACCAAACTGGTGGGGTTTGGGGAGGGGAAGGCGGGGTTTGGGGAGGGAAAGGCGGGGTTTGGGGAGGAGAAGGTGGAATTTGGGGATGGGAGGGGCTTCAGCAGGGTCTAATACCATAGAGTCCTTCATCCAAAGCAACCATTTTGGCCAGGGAACTGATCTGAGATCTGGCGATCCGTTGTGATAAGAAGATCCCCAGGCCTCACCTGGAAGGTGGCAGCTGTGTCTCTCCTTCACACCTGCAATGGCCACTGGGTGGTTGAACCAGGGCTTTAGAACAACAGGCCAGGTGTTTTACAAATTCTCTTTGTCCAAGATCTGGGCGCCCCGACCTGGCTGGCTCAGGCTAACCTGAGCTCAGGAGAACTTGGAAGCTAAGTAGGGTCATCCCCGATTAGCACTTGGAAGGGAGACCGCCAAGGAGTTCCATGGTTGCTACACAGAGGCACAAAACTAGCAAAACAACGCTGTGCTCTATTTCCCGCAACATATTCATAAAGGAGACTTCAATTAAAGTATAATATATCCATTATATGCAGTCAATGTGCCCATACAATCCATCCTAGCAGGGGTCGTTTTGTAGAAAAAGAGCTAGGGGAACTCATTAGCATAACTCATTAGCATATGCCACACCCCCTGACATCACCGGAAGTGTGTCATAAGGCCACACCCCCTGACATCACCGGAAGTGTGTCATAAGGCCACACCCCCTGACATCACCGGAAGTGTGTCATAAGGCCACACACCCCACCCCCAATGGTCCCGGCCGCCGCCGGCCT